ATCCAGATGTGATATCCAATAAGCAAACTGCTCCAGCAGAGATATACCTATCAGAGCATGCTCCCTGCACAACAGAGGTGGAAAATGTAAGTTCACAGGTTATTAATAGTCCTGTTGAAACTGCTTCCCCTGAAATATCAACTCTTGAAAAAGGAAATCAATTCCTCAAAAGTAAAAAAATCACAACCACAGTTGTAAAATCAAGACCAAAGAAAAAATCTATTCCTCCAAAAAAAATTATTGGAAATCTTCATTCTGAAAAAAATCAGGAGATTCTTAAAGAAAATCATGACAAATCAGGAATTAAGAAAACACATCAGGCAAATAGTCTGAAATCTGAAAAGACAAAAGTAAATGCAAATGTTAGTCAAATAAAAACTAACCCTAAACCATCAACATCAGGACTAAATAGTAACAAAGGTGGACCAATAAATCTTGATGAAAGCACTGAAAGTGAGGACTCCTCTTTAGAAGATGATTCTGAGCCCTGTTGCCAGTGCAAAAATTCTTTTACACCACATTTGAAAGGATATCCAGGTCTGGTAATCCTTAAGTGGGCTCAATGTGACACATGTGGTCACTGGGTACATCTCACACACTGTTGTGAAATATCAAGTATCAGAAGAGGTGTCAGTTTCTTCTGCAAATGCTGTGAATAAATTAAGACTGTCTGTTAAAAATGCAAAAGTTTTTATGTTATTGTTGTTGAATTTACTAGTTAACTTGTTGTGACAATGATATGATTTGAAGTTCTTCCTGACTTAAAAAAAATAGTTGTTTTTAACCTTGCAATAGACAAATGTGCTTGTATACCAGTCTACCGCGAGTTTAGTAGCCTCCCCTGATTGCAAATGGCTGCCACAATATGACATTTGGTGACCTAATTAAACTGTTACTGAGTGACTTCTTCGTTGTACGAATGTGTCATTTTGAAGAAATTGGATGAAATTTAAAGTTTCTGAAAACTATTAGATTTGGTAAGTTTATTTACATAAATTATTCGTTGTAAAAGCGTTATTGCCGCGAGATTCGTGGCCCTCGGTATACTATGCATAATTTCTTACGAATTACCGTTACATAAATAAAGAGATTAATACCACAGTGAACCAATAACTAGAATATGCGCTTTATACTTATCTAAAGTTATTGCTAACGGCCTTTTCCTCTTTTTTTCAATATATCCCTTCAATGTCATGGGCGCGGCCATTACTATTTACACACGATGCGTGATAAATTGACGTCATAGTTCAACAGAGGTTAGCAGACGGTCATGTGACGAATTTAGAGTTCGTGACCTATCAATCGACTTTGATTGGTTAATAAGTTCCCGCGTTTCTTAAAATAGAAAATCTAAAACGCGTCACAGCCATTAGAAAGCCAATGAAACCCGTGTAGCACTGGTAAACAATAACAAACCCACGTGTTGTTCAATTGACAATAACAAAACCACATGTTATTCAAATTGTCTGAAAAAAGGAAGAAAAAACCCAAACAATATAAACAATTAAATGAAGGGGAACAAGTTTTAAGTTATCTGCAACATAATATCAAATGAGCTGCCATGTCTTTCTCATTACACTATCAATTAAATATTATGGAAACTACAGCTATTTTACATAAATTTGCACACACACAAACAACAACAACAACAACAAAAACAGTATAATTATATCTGATGAACTGTTTTCGTTAGTAAACTTGACTATCTGTCCAGAATGAATATCAATCGTTTTAAATTCCAGTTGTTTCAGACTGACACAAGTTTATCTATCAATATCATTTAAAGAAATCAACTGTCACCCACAACACTTTATACACTTTTAGAATATAGTTACTAAACCTGAAGTACCCTTAGGAGTGGAGAATCTGGTTGTTTTTCCAATGGTGAGTGCCTTCGATCCTGGAGGGGGTATTTCAATAGCCACTTTGTTAAGCTCTTCTATACTACGGAGGGCGATCTTTCGATTGTCTTTAAGCATGAAGTAAAGCAATAATTTTCCCTTCATGGCTCCATACAGATTCCACTTTATCATTGTAATCAAGTGCATCAGATAGAAGTTTTGCGTTATGATGGATGAGATCCTCACGAATGCTTTTGCCAGAGTCTTTCAAGTTTCGTCGGGCTCGTATGATGTCAAATTTTGTGGTTCGTCTGACAAATTTAACAAGAACCGGCCTGTGACTCTTTGCATCGAATCTTCCTAATCTGTGGCAAGCATCTATATCTGAATTTGAGAGGGTTTTCTGTAGTTTGTTTTGAAGAAAAGTTAGAACCTTAGCCAAAGTATCTGTGTCTTTCTCATTAAATTCGTCTTCTAGCCCATATATGCGTACACTATTGCGGCGTGTATATTGTTCCAGTGCATTGTTTTTCTCTTCTAGCGCTCTGAGCTTTAGCTCTCGATCATTTAGTCTTTCTTCTAACTTGTCGTTCTCCTGCTTGAGGTCCTTAACCTTTCCATAAAGACACATGTTTTCTTCGTTTATGTCCAAAATATTGTTTCTAAGTTCAGTTATCATAGTTGTCATACCCGAAACATGGTCAGATAGAACTTTTACCTCATCTTTTATAACATATACTTCTTTCATAACCTCTTTTGTAACTTCATCTCTAATCACAATTTTCATATCTTCTAGCTTTTGATCCATGAGGTCTGCTGTCAACATTCCTTTTAGTTTATTCTCTATATACTCCTGGGTCACCAGAGTGTTTATAGTTTCTTGCATCTTTCTCAACATATCTCTCTCTGATAACTCTTCTAGCTCTGCATAAGACTTTATATGCTTATCAAGTGTCTGTTGCCCAACTTGTTGATCATGTTTCTGCCCTTTCTGTGGTTTCGTTGGTTTAGGACTTTGTGCGACGGAAGCGACGGAAGCTGAATCTTCATCAGTTCCCTTGTGCGTTTTCTTTGAATTCGACCGTGTACTCTCTTTAACCATTTTCATTATTTATTTTCAGTTAACACTTCACGATAATGTATTGTACTCCAATAATGTAACACAGTGTGTATTAATAGTGTGTATTAAATTGATAGGTGCATTTATATCTTTCACGAAAACCACGTGCTAAAAATCTACCTGTCCATTGTTCTTCAAATAAGCCTTAAGGAGCCAGATCTAGTACAAACAAATTGCAGTATACGATTTAAACTACATACATATTATAAAACAGACTTAAATAACCCTTTTTATGTTTTAATTGTATTCAAAGCAAGCATGTATGAACAAGCTATGTCCATGGATATTACGTTTTACTTTTGTCAGTGCTGTATAGTATAATAAAATCAAAGTAGACAATTTTGCGAAAATGCAAACTTACTGCCATTGACAGTGAACAAGTTTTAAATTGATAACTTAAGTAATTTTAAGAGAAAATGTTAACTGAGTCTTTGTGTCGAAAAGGGGCATAAATGAGCAACATTGAATAACGCAAGTACAAATACAAGTCTCAAATTTTAAAAGTATTCTAAGCCTAAAGTAAAAAGTTGAATATTGCTCATTAAGACGGTGCAAAGATGTGTGGACGATAGCTTGCATTAATCACTTCTTTCCATGAAAGGGATCAATGAAATCTCTTTTGTATTTTGAAATTGCATTCATTATATTTTAATAGTGAAGATAATATATGAATTAAAAGAAAATTCAATTGCAGGAAATTGTGTAAGGAATTTGTGTAATATTTGTAACATTAAATTACATCTATAAGGAATAGTATTGTTGAATCAATCACGTTATTTCTTTAATTTACAATACTATCAAATGAAAGCTAAAACATGCTGAACAGTTTAAATGAGAGAAGTGTCATATCCTTACAACTTATGATATAATACTCATTCTCGGTAGGTCCTTTTATCGTAATGATCGAAAATATGCAACGAAATTCTTGTACACCATGTTTCTTATTACAATATATCAATCACAACTGTCATACTAAACATTCCTCCTAGTGTGTGTTCTTTTTCAAAATATAATACATGGAACGATTCTTTACGGGGGATAGATTAGTATATGACAAGACATCACTTTCATAATAAAAGCAAACATTAGGTTTACATGACAGAAGTAAAATGTTCACATGCGTTTTACTCCTCATTATTATCATGTGATTAAATTTTTTCTCATTATATAAACTGGGTTTGGTTAGATTATGCAAAGGATTTAAGATATTAAAAATTTTAAGTGTGGGAAAAGTTATGTAACTAACTTTTGGCCTGGTGGTGAAGGTGTCTGTAACTACTTTAAGCCTTCTGTGGATACCAGTACTGGTTGTTTAAAGGTTCAGACTTTAGAATGGTTCAAATAAGGTGTTAACCTTCTCTACAAAATAGGGCTAAAATAAACATTTTACAATAAGCAATAAGCATACTTTTAATGAACCCAAACTTATATTAACACACTTTTGTGTAGTTGCAAAACTTATCATGCTTGTCTGGTTTAATGAAATATAAGTACATGAAGTACAAGTGTTTCATGCTTATATCATTATTTTGAAAGGTTTAAACAAGCCAATAGACATTGCAAACGACCATTTATATACGGCCATAAAACGTATCAGGAATTTTTATATCGAATTTATTATACAGGTAACTTCCTTTTTAGAGGATAAAAATGTGATTTCTTCGTTGATTGAAAGCTGCCTTGTATATAAGATTATACGAGTATAAACGTCACGACTATCCAGTGAAAAGCGACATTACAACCTTAGGTAAAACTGGTGGTCTCAATACATTACATTATAATGTATACATAATTATCAACGAACGATAATTGGTCTGAATCTTAGTTTCGTTACAACCACGTTGCCACCGATGACTATAGAACTGGTTAGTCCAGTGAACGATTGAAACTTGGTGCTGAATAAATTGGAAATCAGAGTTAAGACATACAGAATAACAAAACTAAAATACATGTATATCATAACAATAAAACATATAGAGTGTTATAAAAATATTATATACACATCCATGTATATTGATGATATAATTTATATTTTACAGTAGTTGACGGTTTAAAGTGCTACACCTGCTCAACAAACTGTGGCGCAGACACTGATAATCTAAATAAGGTAGACTGCAATGGTGGATTTTGTACAAAGACTGCAGATCAGAATGATAGTAGGTTTTTTTCTCTTTCTTCTGTTCTTGAACTCCTTAAGTATAAAGGCAATTCATACATTGAAAAATAAGAAGTGAGTATTGTACCTTAAAAACATATTGATTCAAGACAACTGTAAAAACTTTGCGAAAATGTTCTTGAATGAAAATTTATAATAAGAATTTGTACGGAGGAAACTGAACTATATCTCTTATGAACGACATTTTCGTTGCCAATAATGCAAAATTGTTACATTAACATATACAATCATGTTCAAATGAGCTTCAAAAATTGTTATTTTAAACAATTTATTTTTCATACTTATAGCTATAATCAATCGGGGCTGTTCGAAAACGGCAAAATCTGCTGGATGTAGCAACACCAACAACTTGAGAATATGTGTATGTAACGATGAGGATCTGTGTAACGGAAGTAGAATGCAAACAGCCACAGCAACATCTACGATCTTTCTCGTTATTGTCGCCATTATGCTTACAGTTATGTAAATTATATGAACCATCACGCTTAAAGATGTGTAAATGATATGAGCCTTCACGCTTAAAGATGTGTAAATGATATGAACTTTCGTGCTTAAAGATGTGTAAATGATATGAACTTTCGTGCTTAAAGCTATGTTAATTATATGGACCTTCATGCTTAAAGTTTAATAAATTACATAATATCATGCTTGAAGTTTGATCATTGATATATATCAGCATGCATACATTTTTGCTGTATCATTAAAGTTGTGTGAATCATGCAATATATCATTACGCTTAAAGATTTATAAATGATACTCTTAATATGCCTAAAGCTTTGTTAAAGATAAAAACAACGAATTTATACTACTTAATGCATAATTGTAATAGAAATGTTTCACTTAAAATGTTGCATTCTTTAAAAACTGTAAACGACATTCGACTATGTTCTGAAACATAAAAGAAATGATTGATCTATGTTGCAATAATTCAGTAAATGTGTAAATAATTTTATTAATATGGTTATATAAATATGAATTCATGTAAAGACATTTTATCAGTAAAAGAACAATTGGAAACGAACTTCGTTTTTGAATCTGGTAGCTTTTACATGAGCAAAACATCGATGAAAAACCTATCTGTAGTTGTCGACCTGAAAATAGTCATCTTTAAAACTCGGACATCAATGATGTCGAAAGATTATCACAGATGTAAAAGATCTTACCCATCAATGTACTACCATACTTTGATTAGAAAGTGATTGTATGCTATTAAGTGGTAAGCAAACCACCTTCTTTACCTGATCTGTCACATACTTTTGTTGGACGTTTCAATGATCAATGCTTCAAACAGAAACCAAAATAAAATCAATAAAAGCTTTTTAGTGTTTGGTAAAATGTAAAAAAAAGTGTGTGGGAAAGTCAAAGTACTAGTAATTTTTAAGGACACTCGATCATGGTGACTCATTTAAATGTTGACATTGAAACCTTTAGATAGGTGCTAACCAATTACTGCATGAGCATTTTGTGAAAATGGCTGTTTTCATTGAAAAGTCTCTCGTTACAAGTTCAAATTGCAATAAAACTATAAAAACTGCTTCAATTATAATCAAACTTGGCACAAATCTTGACTGGTCCATTGCCTTTGTAACAACATGCTCAGTCTTAAATTTCCTGTTACCATGGCAACGAGGGGACATCTCAAAATTGTCAAAAATCACTATTTTGCGTTGATTTTATTCATCAAAATTGATTTCAAAGTACTGAAAAAGTGGTAACTTTTTTAAATAACGTTTCTCAAACAAAACAAGTGTTGGGGGCCTAAATAAGGCATTTTTTCACCATTTGAGACAACAAAAAGGGAAGGGGTGAAAAGGGCATTTAAAGGCGTGTATATCTGGTAATGGGTTAATTGTTATTATTATTATGATAATAATGATCAAAATAAAAACAGCATTTCGAACACATAAATGACCCAAAACATTTGTTTTTCAAATTCCAGTAAACTTCAAATAAACATAATATTGAATAGAACACAATAAGTACGCAGTCTATATTATGATAACATGCAGTATACAAACGCACTGAAATAAATATCGTACAGTGTTTAAAATTGTACAGAACCTATGAGAATATACATCACATATGATTGGATATTTCTCCGACCATGAAAATATTGCGAAAGAATGGAGCAGAAAGATACAATCATAATGTTAAAATGGCAGACTATATAAGAAATAAAGTGTGTTGCAATGAAAACAAATTTTAATTTAAAAACACCAACACGTTCTACTTATTTAAGAAATACTTTTAACAAATGCGAGTTTAATAGGTATTTACGGAAGCTTATCAGGGCCTCCACTTATCTAAACGTTTTACGTCATGTCAACTTGTCTCTTCTCGTTTTGACCAAAAACATTCCATGAAAACGTTATCATTAATACGTAATACGTAAAACATTCCATGAAGAGGTTATGATTAATACGTAATACGTAGAAGTTTTTAGTCATTGCAAAAAAACCTTGTTGAATTACGTGAGCTATTTGTCAATGCGAGAAACGTCTTTGCGTCTTACTAAATATTTCAGCAAAGTCGTGAAATCAAGAAGTTTTGACAGGATTTTTGTCAAAGAGACAAAATCTTCAAGCATATCGAAAAAATAATTCAGTTGCAATGCCTAAAAGCTTCTCATCTTTGTCAGTAAATTTTATTGAGAAATGCAAAAACATCTTATCAATGTGAATAAAAATAAGTCGACTTAGCGCAAAACATCTCACCAACTGTAGGCCCTGATACGCTTCCGTAGGTATTTGCATATTTTTTATTGTTTATTAATGTTCCTTTACTTCACATTGCAAAGGTACTCATGTACACAGTAAAACATAATAAAAATATTTAAAATTATTGCTTTTGTGTTGTTCACAGTTGCTAACTGAAGTGGATAAATCTGATCATTCTGCATCATATTTTATGATAAATTTATGATGTGTAGTCATACTTAAAAACTTATAAATTTGTAAGGAAATAAGAAACTAACACACTTTTTATGAGCGAATAAAAAATTGCAATTACTGACGAGGTATGATTCCATAAACAAGAATAAATGATTTTAAAGATGTTTCTATTAATTCGTGAAGTATCACCTAATTTTAACTTTGAATATTTCTCTGAACATAAATAAGGCTTACAATGATTTCGTTCTAAAAGGCACAAAACTTATTCGTAAAATGTCTATATTCTTGCGGATTCGAATTCATAAGACAAGTACTGCAAAGTCGTTTAGTCTAATTTGAGATAAAATATTGTTTATACAAATGTAGTAACTTAATCCGAGTGACGTACGGAATTCTGTTTTATGATTGATGAAATTAAAGCGATAAAACGAAAGAAATCGATTCTATTTTTGCTTTTCATCGAAAATCACTAAAAGGAAGTTTTGTTGACATGTTGTTTTGTAATTACACGGACTTTAAGTGCTTGAGTTTATTATAACATGAGAAAAAAGTATTTTGTTTCGATACATTCATATGTAAATAGTCTAAAGGTATAATACCTACTTCTTTAAACTTATAACGTCCTTGAAATAAGGATAGAAGTGGGGAATGAACATCATTCAGTTTTACCCAACGTACTCATTTGTTTGTCTGCACCAATTAAAATCAAGCCTGTTATAAAGTCAGATATAAACTTTTTGCATTAAATGGAATGGCTAAGTAAAGTCAGTGATACAGAGAAGAATAATTTCACCCCGGCGGGATTGCAGCTTTTATTTTGCAAATATCAATTAAATTAAGTTATTAAATAAAACAGAACATAACGGAACGACGAAAAGCTGTCTTTGGATATATTTATATTCAATTTCTGATGGATATAAAATCAGCAAAGAAATTATGAGCAAAAAACATCAAAGACCACTGTGAAATTTCTATCATAACACATGTACCAAATAAGACAATTAGATATATGTCTATAGTTATGTGTTTTCCGGCGGATTATTAACACTATTTAGCATTGATGAATCACACCGTGGAGACAAAATTGTGCTTTTGCGATAACACATAGATGCAATAAGTTAGAGGTTATTTCCGTCTTTTGGTGACAAAATCACAAAAACAGACTGTCGTGCTGTTTATTTATTATTTCCTGGAAAAAGAAAATTGTTTAAGAAAGGTAATAACGTTACATCATTTAAGACTTAAACAAGATATTTGAATGTTCGTTTTTTTAATAACAGGAGTTAAGTAAGTAGTAATATGCGTTTATAACTAGTGAATTAATATAACAAAAGTCGTGTGCCTTCTGACCTTAAAGATAGTAAACAAGAACAACATGACTTCATAATGATAGAATAGATAAATCACTTTCGCCTACATTCTTTTCCTGCAATATCTTTTTTTCTTGTTCTCAATATTTTATCAGTTGAATATTAAATGATATATTTTAAGTTTATTTGACATTTATATTATTCAGTTTAAAGGGATAATGTGACGTATGGACACATCTGAGGATGTTTCTTAATTCAAAATTTCACCATTGACATGTTTAATGTTAAATTCTGGTGGTGCTGGGGGGGGGGGGGGGCGGTACCCGAATCTTCACCATTTTCAATACTTTTAATCGTTCGTAGTACCTCTGTCTTTCTTATTTTACTTGCCATATTTGCAGAATTATAGGAGAAATGCCACAGGTCTTACAGCTGCCGTACATATTATGTCTTATAACTAAATCAAGGCAGATGTAAATTAAAGATACAATTTTGCCGTTTTGGGCGTTCTTTAGGGATTCTGTTTTTTTTTCTATTTTAGACAAAAACATAATAAATTGTATGAGCAATTATAATGCTGTTATTATTATATGTAAATTTTTTGATTATATACATTTGTGTTATTGCAAATGTAAAACCAAATTAAAATAATAATATGTAAAAACGAAAAGACAAATCTTTAAATGTGTTTACTTTTTATTTAGTTCTGTTACAACTTCTGCAAAATATGCAAATTATCATTTTTAAGTTTCAACAATTTGTGTTCTTCGTAATCTATGTTAATGTAATACCGATATATCTGTTACCGAAACTCCTTTTACAGATTATTGTGATGTAAACGTCGTACTCTTGTACAACCTTGAAATAAATTGTCTGAGCTGTCTTGTTTAATTTTCAGTGAAGTCATTCAATGCATGTGCTTTTATTGAGCTTGAATTCCTATTGGCAGATACTGTATTAATTAAGTATGATATTGGTTTTGTTTGTTTGTTTGGATTTTTATGGCACGTCAACACATAACTGGCCATATCGTGCCGAATGCCAAAATAGGCTTAAAATGTTATGTAAAACTTTGTAAATGACAACAAAAATGAGCCAATTAGATCCTAGAATACAAGTTTATCTCTTTCAAATAATCAATGATGTTTTTTGATGGAATTGTATTAAAGAGTTCTTTGAGTATGATATTGGTGTGTTTCTATAAAATGTAATGGAATTCATGGACATAAAACTTGAATTATTATTTTTTTCTTTTCAAAACAAAATGGATATCTTTGAGGCAAAAGTGCAAAACAAGAAAATTTACAAGACAATTTTGCAGAATTCAATAGGAATTGCAACAGTTTTACAGCTGTGTGTATTTATTAAATCAAACTTAATCAAGGCAGTTGTCACTTTCAGACATATGCAAATCTGACATAAAGTTATTTTCTGCCTTTGCTACTTAAGTAGATGATAAAAGTAAATCATATTATTGCTAATGGATTTTATGCACAATACATACTCCTTAATGTACATCATTTCTCTTAATTTTACCCATGATACTTGCGTTTCTTCGAGCAAGCACTTTTGTATTCTTTATAATCAAGGCTAAGGTTTGGATGATTTTAGGAATTACTGAAATCGTTGATACATTAAAACAGTAATTTTTTTCGATAAAAAAGCTATATTTATAAGTTAATGCAACTCACACCGCTGTATTATGATGATATTGGATGAAAAAGTTATGATATTATAAGGACAATATAGTTTATGTCTGTACTGGTCTCATTACTAAACGCCCACCTGCTTATGTCAATATTGAGAGCGTCAGATTACTAACGCAAAAATCGCTTGTGGATCATCGGACGTGTCGTAAGAACTCCATGACAACTGGTTTCGGACATTGAGTCTAATGGTCTCTTTTTCTTTCACCCATGATTAAGAAATCATATTGGAATAAGTTGTCGGTCACTTGCGGGGAAATTATTAAAAACTGGTAAGTTATCCAGGATCGACCACCGAGATATGACAAAATGAGTCGGCTTAAAATCCCCCCCCCCCCGAAAAAGAAAACATCCCCAAAACAACAAAGAATCAAACATACATACAAATCATTCCCACAAACAATCTTCAGA